GACTCAAACTCATGATCCTTCTGCTTCAGCTGACATGAGGGCGCCACATTTCAATTTCTGTTAAGTTAGTGGTGCTATACTCTTTTGTTTTTTTAATTATGACTGTTGAATTTTATAAAACAAAGAATCACATAAATGTATCTAGTTTATCTGTTACTGTAATTAAACTAATAGAATATCTATTCATTTTTAGAATAAATTCAACTTGGTTTTGGTATTTTGAGTAATATCTTCTAGGATTTAATTTCTTCTCATTTAGAACATTTTTATCAGTATTCGTATTACATACTGGATTTTCTTTTTTCCTTCTAACATTATCTTTGCTATGTTTGGCTACCCAACTCATACTATAATAGCTAGAACCTGACTAGTTTAGTTAGAATGTTATTTATAATATTTGGTATAACTCACCTATAAAACTATCTGTGCTGCTTATTTTTAGTTAATTTTTAGTAGATACATTTTAGTTTTTATCATTTAATTGTTTTAAGATTTCTTTTTAAAAATTATGAATATATATACTATGTCTTGTATGGGTATATTCATGTGAGTGCAGGTATCCATGCAGGTGAGAAAAGATTCGCATTAGAGCCTCTGAAGCAGGAGTTGCATACCTTAAGCTGCCCGCTGTAGGTGCTGGAAGCCAAACTGTATCCTTTAAAAGAGTAACATGCTGGTCCTTGGTGGTGCACGCCTTTAATCCCAGCACTTGGGAAGCAGAGGTAGGTGGATTTCTATGAGTTTTAGGCCAGCCTGGTCTACAGAGTGAGTTCCAGGACAGTCAGAGCTATTACACAGAGAAACCCTGTCTCGAAAAAAAAGAGAGAGAGATAAAAGAGAGGGAAGGAGGGAGGAAGAGATATCTTAACCACTGAGCCATCTCTCCAGGCCCCAAGTTTTGTCATCTTGTAATGGTCACAGCAAAAATAATATTCAGTCCTGTATAAACACTGGGTAGTTAGAATAAATGTGAGTGGAGCAGGGTCTTTGAATGATATTACTGTATAAGGGGACTTCAGCTACTAGATCATGGGATGAAGAGTGGGTACCAGAAGGTGCAGGGTATGACTTAGAGCACGAATATGTATAATTAGTATGGCAGAAGTTTACTATGTGTGTGTGTTGGGGAATCAAACCTGGAACTAGTGCAGCTAAGTATCTGAGGTCCCAGCAAGTTCAATCTTGTAACAGCGGCTTCTGCTGAACCAATGAATGTTGGTTAAGTATCAGTCTTGGTAAGAAGTCAATTCTCGTTGATCAGTTTTACTAAGGTGCTGTTTTTTGTTCTGATTTGATTTGATTTGTTTGAGACAGGGTCTCACTATGTAGCCCAGGCAGGCCTGAAACCCTGTAACCCTCCTGCTTCAGTCTTCCAAATCCTAGGACTATACAAATGTGTCATTAGACCTAGCTTCTAATGTGAGTTAAATGAGATATCTAGGTCATCAAAGTTTTAAAAGTATATTGGTATAAAAGTGTTGCTGCTGATCTTTAACCTTTAAATTATTTTATTACTTATTTAATGTGGGGGGGTCACATGTCATCAAAGTTTTAAAGTATATTGGTATAAAAGTGTTGCTGCTGATCTTTAACCTTTATTTTATTACTTATTTAATGTGGGTGGCACACGTGCACATGTGGAAGACAGAGAACAGCTTTCAAAAGCAGGTGTCTCTTCCCACTCTGTAGCCTGGGAGCAGGGGGACTGACTTAGGCTGTCAGTTTGGTGGGAAGAGGCTTCATCTACTGAGTCATTTCACAGGCCACACACACAGTGCTGCTGTTTTGAGACAGGGTCCTATCATGTGGTCCCACCTGTCCCTAAACCTATGATCCTCCTGACTCAGGCTCTGTGTTGGGATAACAGGGATATGTCACCACATCTAGCTTATACTTTGGTGTTTAATTTTGCCTTTTGATGAATCTTGCCCCCCTCAAATCTGATTAGCTTTTTACAGAACAGACTTTTTAAAAAAATCTTAATTGTATTTTCTTTTTGTTTGTCTGTTTTTCTTTCAGACAGACTCTCACTATATAGCTCTGGCTGTCCTGGAACTTACAGAGATCTGCCTCTCAAGTGCTGAGATTAAAGGTGTGAACTATTGTGCCTGGCTGCATTTTCATTTTCTTCTTTAAAAAAGAAAAGTGCATTGGTGTTTTACTTGCATGTATGTCTGTGTGAAAGTGTCAGATCCCCTTGAGCTGGAGTTAGACAGTTGTGAAGCACCATGTTGGTGCTGGGAATTGAACCTGCGTTCTCTAGAAGAGCAGCTCTTAATACGGAGCCATCTCTCCAGTCTTACACTTTCATTTTCAAGACTGATTTTACACTTCTAGTTTTTATTATTTCCATACATCTTTTATTGAGTTTACCCCACTTTTCCCCAATTTCTTTGGATAAGTTCATCAGCTTTCAGTCCTCTAATTTCACTGCATCTGGACCTTTTCTGTCTTCCTCTTTCTCTCTCACAGACAGAATCAACCTCATCCTCCTCCTGTCCCAGCCTCCTGAGTGCTCAAATGCTGGAACTACAGTGTGAACTGCCTGCCATGCTAGCTAATGTGGGAACTTCTAATAACTGTGTTAACTTAATCTTACTGAGTTCAGAGAAAATGGTCTGTGTGACAGCATTTCTTTGATAGCTACTGTACAGTTTCATTCAAGTTTTTTTTGTTGTTGTTGTTGTTTTGCTCTAGGTCTGTTTGAAGGGATATATTTACTGTTTTGGGGGAGTAGAATTCTAAGAAAAATGTATGTCATGCTTACTAATATTTAAATTTTCTAAGTCTTACTCAATTTTTAAGTCCTTTTTAAAAAGTATGGTGTGTGTATGGGGGGAGTGTATCATGGCAATGTGTGTGCAGGTCAGAGGTCCATTCTCTCCTTCTACGTTTATGTGGGTTCTGGGGTGGAACTCACATCGTCAGATGTGCAGAGCAAATGCCTTATCTGTTAATCCATACCCCTGGCCTTTTGAAAGGTCTATCTTTGTCTATTAGAAAAATGAGAAAATAGACCTAATATTTTCTAGTGATTTCTTGCTTATTTTTCTTATAATTCAGTCAAGTTTTGCTTCTAATAAGTTTTATTTTTATGTACATATAAGAATTCATTTCTATTCTAGTAAAACTAGCCTTTTAATATAGTACTTTTTTATTGGTTATAATGCTTCTTGCCTTAAATACCATTTTGTCTGCCATTAATGTGGCCACAACTGTTTTCTTCTGATTTCTGTTTTCTGGTTTTGTATGCTTTATGTAGCTCATCTAGAGAACACATAGTTCGATTTTACTGTTTAATCTACCACCATTGGCTACTTTAGTACTAGGGATCGAACCCAGGACTTCACACATGCTAAGCAGGTATCTGCTATTGAGCATTGGCCCTTTTATTACATTATTTTGAGGTGAGGTCTTACTAAATTGCCTTGTTTAGCCTTGAATTTACAGCTTTTTTGCCTCAATAGTTCCAGTATCTGGGATTACAGATCGAGTTTGTTTTTGTTTCTGAAACAAAATGTTTCTATGTAACCCAGGCTGGCCTTCAATCCCAGATTCCCAAGCACTGGGATCAAAGAAATGTGCCATCACTGTGGCCTGTTTGCTTTTTAAATGACTCTATCCACCCACTTTTATGCTTCTGTAGGACTAATTGTTTTATTAGATTTTCACTCTTCTAATTTGTAAATTATTACTTATATTCCTATTCAAATTTTCTTCCTAAATTACCCCTCACATTTACATTTGCATTTTAAAAGATGTGTTTGTATTTGCTGAAAAACAATGACTCTGTCCCTCACTCAAACATTGGGTGTACTAGGATTTTTTTTTACTAAGAATATGTCCTTTTTTAACATACCAATTGAAGACTCTAGTATGACTACTATATTAACAATTCACCATACCACAGTTAACAACACCCCAAGCTTCTACTCTGCAAACCATCGCTGTAAGGAAATACTTTGCTGCAGTGTTCACAGCTGAGGGAATTATATAAACTGCTGTGTACCTCAGGACCCTGAGACACTATGGTCCCTGCCAAGTTGGTACCATCAGTACCGTTTTTCTCCACAGACAACTCAAAGCATCGCGTGCACTGTTTCTAAACACTGTCTACATCACAGTCATTCCAAATGAGAACTGCTTTTTAATGCATGAAGATACAATTTAAAAACTACAAAATAAATATGTTCAGAATCAAAGGAACAAAGAATGAGGAATATTTTTGCTTCACATAGGAAATAAAAATACTTCTCCTTATATTTAGTAAATTTGTTTTATAAACCAATTTTCTTCATTAGATACATGCCTTGGTCTCCTGCCCAAGTAATTTCTCCATTTTCTTCTTTATTTTTGCAGTGGTGGGCCCATGTAGGCTAGAAAAGCACTCTGCCACTGACATATACACCTTTAGTTCCAGAATCTTCCGTTTTTAACACATGACTAAGTGTAATAAAAAAGGAACCATGCTTGTTTTCGTTTGTTTGTTTCCTCCTCCTCTTTTTTTCCCCCTTACAGTGGGTCTCTACATTGCCCTGGCTCTTCTATGTAGACCAGGTTAGCCTCAAACTCACAAAGATCCACCTGCCTCTGCCCTCGCTGAGTGCCCGGATTAAAGGTCTGCACCACCACACCTGCCCCTACCCCCAGAAGCATCTCATACAGCCCAGGCGATCCTCCAAGCTACTATGTAATCAAGGATGACCATGAACTTTTGATCTTTCTGTGTCTACCTCTGTAGTGCTGGGATAACATGCTTACATCACGTGTCTGGTTTTATGTGGTGATGAGGGGCAAACGCCAGGCTTCATGCATAGTAAGTAAGCAATCAATCAAATGAACCATGTCCCCGGTCCCTTGTTTTTCTCCCCCCATAAAGTTAACTTTTGGCACCCCATTCCCAGACTCTAGATCAGAACACTGAACTTGTTTACCATCTTGTAAAGAGAAAAGAAGTTTTACAGTATTACATTCCTAACATGGGTCTCCTATTTACAAACCTGTTAGTGTCCCAAATAATGACATTTCCATCAAATCCTGATGTTACTAAGAGTCTTGTATTAGTATCATATTCGATGTTCTTCACCCAGCTAGTGTGACCATGTAAAGTGCATACTTTGGTGTTCAGTTTTCTCAGATCCCATAGTGCTATTGTAGTATCATCAGAGCAGGTAGCAAATAGCCGGTTATCAAGAAATCTACAAAAGCAGAAAAGAAAAACTGGTTCATTTAATCTCTACTTAAAGAAAATATGACTTTAGAAACAATTTCTATATTGCCAATAGGAACCAAAGGTCTGCAACCTCCCTGTAGAAGCCAGCAATTCTGACACAATAGACAGCGCCTCTGTTCACACAGCCAGACTACTAACTAATGGAGACGTACTGTAGCTGGCCTATGTCACTGTTGTTTTTATTTGAAAGTAGAAATTGTGAAAAGGAGTCTGCAGCACAGTTGGTAGAAAGAAAGAAAGGGAAGAACTCCAGAATCTGCCCAGGAAATGATGAAAGAAAAGTTTAATAGAAAACAGATTTTAAGGACTTGACTGCTCAGGGGACATTGTATTAGACAAAAGATTGTAATAATAAAGATTTGCTACAAGTCATATCTCTTCCTACTTACAACAGGTTTACATACAAAACTTGCAATTCAAAGTGCCATCACTTAAATCTATTAATTCAAAAGCATTCCCCAAATAATCTCCCAAGGCAACATTTTATTAGTCAAGACTGTAAGATGGATTTAGGCTATAATGTAGACTTTTTATAATTTTTTTTACTAACTTTCCAATCCTTAGCAACAACATGCACTTTTGTTTGTCTAATTTAATAGTAGAAGTATAGGGACTCTAGCAAATACTGTTACATATAACTTCATAGTCTCTGGTAGAACAAATGAATTCTGGAGCTTCTCCCAATATAAAAATATATATAATTCTGTCTAAAATAAACATCAATATCTACAAACAACATCACAACCTCACTGCAATTTATCATGGCTCTATGTCTTTTTCTTGTTTATAAGACGACAGCCTATTCCCAGGCTGTCTCCCATCCAAGTACCTAAGCAGGTCTAACCTCTGCTCAGGTTTGCATGTAAACTTGCCTAGCACGTCCCAGGCGGTAAGCCATAGACTTATTATGGCTTTAATTTTAGGCGCACCTTCTTCCTCTTCCTCAATTTTGTTTTCTTTTTCATATTTAGCTGTCGCCTCCAGGAAGCCAGCACCCCCTTTTATTCATTAAATACAGCCTTCCTTGTTTAGTCTAGGGTAGTTTATAAATATGCTAAAGCTCCCTAATCACTCTATTTTGGGGTGTGTGTGTGGTGTTCACTTATGTCGTTGTCTTCCTCTATTGTTCTTCACTTTTTTTTTTTTTTTGAGGTAGGGTCTCCTGACTAAAGCTGCAGCTTGTGCTTCTGCTAGAATGGAGTCACACGAGTGCCACTGAGGCCAGCTTTTCGTGGATGCTGAGCTGAGATTCCTACACATGCATGCACTTTATCCACTGAGCTATTTTCCCACTCCAGAGCTCTACTCTTCTAGACAGGGTTTCTCTGTGGAGCCCTGGCTGTCCCAGAACTTGCTCTATAGACTAGGCTGGCCTCTGAACTTCTATCGTAATATTTAACACTGTAGTATAAGGAGCAACTTTACAAAGCTATAAACTCTTTGAAGACGGGGAAGTACCTACCACACGATTAGAGCTGCAGTGCCAAGCACATATGCTTATCTATTTAATTTACTTAGTTAGGAGACAGGGTACCGTATAGCACGGCTGGCCTCAAACAACACTGAACTTAGGACTGTCTCACTACAGGAGTGGGCCACCATGCCCAGGTTATGTGGTGCTTAAGATCAAACCCAGGGCTTCGTGCATGAAAAGCAAGCCCTTTACCAACTAAGATACACCTCCAGTTCTACCTGTAAATGCTTATTAAATAATGAATTAAAGAAGTTCATTACCCAGAAGACAAAAACACAGTTACATAAAATAATTATGGGAAATAAGCAAAGTAAAGAGATGTGTTAGGAAGGAGTACAATGAGAACTGACTGAAAATGAATAGGAACTCCCAGAGGTAAGAAACATATATAAAGGACTGTCATTTGTGGTCAAGGAGACAAATGGGGAACTTAATTATTCCAGTGATTCCCAATGGCTTTTCTCCCACTCTCCCTCCATCCCTGCCTCCTCTAAACAGGATCTCACTATGTAGGCCTGGTTGACCTGGAATTCACTATGCAGACCATGCTAGCCTCAAACTTACAGAGATCCTCCTGTCTCTTTCTTCCAAGTATTGGGATTAAAGGTGTACACCTCCATGTCCAGCCACTTCAAGGGTTTTAAGGAAGAGAGTAAGATGATTTTATAGCAATTTTAAGATCATTTAGATAACCAGGTCCCCAAACTTTTGAGTTTTTATATTTTTAAAGATTTGTTTATTATGTAGTGTTCTGTCTGCATGGCCAGAAGAGAGCTCCAGATCTCATTACAGATGGTTGTGAGCCACCACGTAGTTGCTGGGAAGTGAACTCAGGACCTTTAGAAGAACAGCCACTCCTCTTAACTGCTGAGCCAGCTTTCAAGCCCCCTTGGGTTTTTATTTTAGAAGTTAAATAAGGTGGAGAAATCAGCTTTTCAGTATTGTTAATAAAATGACTAAAAAGTAACTTGTATAGCGGATATTCTAATCTCAAAATGTACAAAGAATCTTGGAGTAAAACTAATATTTTTGAATTAAGTTTACCTTAATGAAAATTCGATACTTTGATTTTAGTTTATTCATTTTCCCCCCAGAGCATCAACCCATAAATTTTTATATTGGTAAAGAGAATAAATCATACAGTAATAAGAGAAGTGTGTAGATGAAGACATCACCTATGACAATTTTTATCCCAAACAACATACATGTACAGAGTGTCAAGTATTAGATAAGCCCTTGTGCATGTGTCCCATGCCTCTCCAGTTAAAGCTCAGAATAGCCTAGAAAGCTGTAACTGTTAGGCTGGGATGTAGTTCAGTTGGTAGAGTGCTTGCCTGGGTTTGCAATCCCAGCATGCACTTGGGTGGCAGAAGTGGCTATGAGTGAGTTCAAGACCAGCCAGGGTTACATGAGATGCTGTCTTAGAAAAACAAAAGCTATGAGATGTTTCTAACTCTACATTCTTTGACAAGCAGGAGCTCCTTTTGTGCTAACACTGAAATCTGTCTGAATCAGAACCTTTCAACTGTGCCCACACAACTAAGTTGGCTATAAAAGTTCTGAGTAGACCTTTGTCTGGAGGAGCTAAGCTCTCTATTTGAGGAACACGGGGAAAGGACAAAGGCAACTGAAAGTGACTCATTGTCCAAGTCAAAATATTGTTGAATATTTAAAAAAAATAAACAAAAACAATCTCAACGCTCTAAATCTTGGGTAGTTTTTTTGTATAATTTCTGCAATGAAATAATAGAATATTATATTTTTCTTTATATTTGAGTTTGAACTATAATGAAGATCACTTTTTCATAAATCCTCAGATTTTATCAGCTATCCCGAGAGTCAATGAGATATTCATGAAATTCTAGGTGTCTCTTGTGCCATTATTTCCATCACTTTTGTTTTTTCTGATATTTTCTCTGTCAGATCTGCTATTGCCAATGATTTTATGTGTATCTCGACCACTTCTCCAATATCATTTTCAGGGTTTTATGGAATTATACATGCATAAAATATATTTCCCCTCAACTGACAAATACTGTATTTGTCTTATAGTGTATAAAATATACAAAATAGCCCAAGACCAACAAAGACTCTGGTTTAGTAAGTAGGTGCTACATTGTTGTTTTTTTTTTTTTTGTCACATTATCAGTGAATAGTCTTATAGTTTTACCTTGGGGCTTTCCCTTACAACCTCATAATTACAGGGATCTGGATTGCTATATGGACTCTTTCATCTAAATATAAAGTTCTCAGGAATAAGAAGTATATCTATACAATATATTCAAATCATAAACATTTTTCTTAAAACATAAACAGGAAATATTCTCAACTATCACTGTCATTTTACAATATTAACAATCACCAAATCTAAAAAATAAACTAGAAGACATTACCAAGAATGTGCAAAATGACAACCCAGAGTGAAACTGGAAAATGTATGTATGCCCATACCTCTGACAGTTACAATGAGGTAGTCTCAGGAACCATGTATGCTTCCATTTCTGCTACTCCCTGTATACAAAGCCTTAGAGAAATCTCATAAGAGTCAGGATTTCCTTATTGCTTAAAACAAGTATGACATCTGTCTCCCATGAAGACATAATAAACATCAAACTGGCTGAGGCAGAAGTACCACAGGAAAAGACCTGCCAGGCCAGCCTGCCCTATACATGGCAAGACCTTACCTCAAAAACCAAACGTTGTGTGTGTGTGTGTGTGTGTGTGTGTGTGCGTGTGCGTGCGTTGCACGTATGAAGGTCAGAGACAGCATGTGGAGTCTGTTCTCTCCTTCTACCACGTGGGTTGCAGGGACTGAACTTCAGGTTGTCAGGTTTGACAGTAAAGCACTTGTTGTCCCCCACTCTGTCAAATTTTTAAAAATCTTCAACAATGTAGCATATTAAAATGTATTGGTTTGGCACACAGTAAGTAATCAGGAAATGGAAATTAGTATTATTAACTAGTGCACACTTAAGTTCATGCGACCTTTCAGATCCTTAACCTCTTAGGTTGCTTGTGCTTCTAAACAAACTTCAAAATCCATTTTCCTATATTCAAATTTGTAGACACATATGCTGTAGCAGCATGCTGACAATAACACATGAGAGCTGGCACTGATAAAGAATTCAAACAGGTTAGTCAAATATTTTACTTTGAGTAGGGGCAAACAACTTGGTACAAGTCTATTCTTTTTGAGATACAAAAAATTTCAATTGTAAAATACTAGAAATAGAGACAATTAAAACGAATATAACAAACACCTGTGATACCCACCACCCAGCTTCATCAAATTTTAACATTCCGTTATCTTTCAGAATTGTCTGAAAATACAAACATATTTGAAGTACATTGTGAGTCCCTCCCCAAGCCCATTCCCCTCCTTGCCTCTCCAGAGGGAACCACTATCCAAAATTTGTCATTCCCCATGCACATGTTTAATACCATGGATTAATATGTATGTATCCATCACTTTCCATACTTTTTATATCCAG